AAAAAAAAAAATGATTGAAGAACTATCTATACACTCATGTTCATGGTAGCATTAGTCACAATAACCAAAAGGTGGAAGCAACCCAAGTGTCCATCAACCCACGAATGAACGGACAGACAAAATGTGGTATATGCACACAATGGAATACTACTCAGCCTTCAAAAGGAAGGAAATTCTGGCACGTGCTACAGCATGGATGAAACTTGAGGACATTGTGAAATAAGCCAGTCACAAAAAAGACAAATACTGTCTGATCCCACTTACATGAGGTACCTAGACTAGTCACATTCATAGAGACACAAAGAATGGTGATTACCAGGGGCTGGGGGCAACACGGGATGGGGAGCTATTGTTTAATGGGTATAGAGTTTCATTTTGCAAGATGAAAAGACTCCTGGATATGGATGGTGGTGATGATTGGATAGCAACATAAATGTACTTAAGAACACTGAAACGTACACTTAAAGTGGATAAGATGATAAATTTTGTTATGCATGTTTTGTCACAATGATTAAGTTTTTTTTAAAAAGAGCTGAGACCACACAGACTGCACCTCTAAATGGCCAACGCATCAATTCATTTCAGTCCACTTGGATGAGCGAACTTCTCTCAGCAGCCAGCGTAACGTCACACCTATTCAATCACCCCACACGCCTCCTATTTCTCTGTCCTCATTTTCAGGATCTTCCAGCCAACCCTTATCAATGAGACCAAAAAACTTGCAGTAGCTCCATTAGCTGCTAATTTCCTGAACGCCAAGATCAAAGACACAATGTTCAAAGGCACACAACAGCTGGGACATTCTGCTGTGAGCCAGCGGATGCCTACACGCTGGCCCGACCGGCCTCCTGTTCCCGTGGGTTCTCCAAGGCAGAGAATGCAGAACAAGACCCTCAGAGATACTCTGACCATTAAGCGGGCTGAAAACGAGGAACCGCAGAGTTCTGGGTCCCCCCACGACACAGCTGCGTCTTCCCCTCCCACTCCACTGACCAGCCGAGGGCTTGGTGAAGGCGGATGTCGGCCTCCAATGAAACCAGCAATGACATCATTCTAACGGCCTCAGCGGGCTGGGGGAGGGTTTCCTCTGTCTGCAATGCAGGCCTAATTTGCTTGATGTGGATTTTCGTTCAGAACCAATATCTCCTTTTCCACATACAGAATGAACAGCAGAGCAGTTCCCTGGATACTGCCCCTCACAGCTCCATCCTTGGCTCTCCGCCCATCCCAACAACTGGCTCTCTCTGAAACACCCTCCTCACCCCACAGGGACCAGCCCAGCTCTCGTCTCGCCTGTCACGGCCCACCCTGCCGCTGTCCCCCCAACCTCCCCTCTCTCCTTGCTCCACACAGGCCTTCTCATCCTCGGCACTACTGACATGTGGGGCCGATCATTCTTTGCTGTGGGGCTGTCCTGTGCACTGCAGGATGTTAGCGACTTCCCTGGTCTCCGCCCACTAGATGCCAGTAGCGCCTCCCACCCACCAAACCCCAGTGTCTCCCAGCACCGCCCAAGGTCCTGAGGACAAAGCCGCGCCCGGTTCAGAACCACTGTTCCACAATCTGGGAGCTTGAGGGAGGCCCACGGCCGCCCAGCCGAGAATCCGATTTCCCAGCCTGGTCCCAGCCAGTGACCCGCAGATGTAGGAGTACAGACGGCTGGCTCCTGGTCTGGACGAGGGACATGGTGCAGCGTGATCCGGGGTCCAGAGTCCCCTCGCCACCACAGACCAGCAGATGCTAGGTCTCATTGGGACCACGCCCTCGTCCAGCTGTCACCGTTTACCTAGACGGCTTCACCCCCTCCCCTGCAGGGTTTTCTCCTGTTTGCATCCTGTTTGGGGTTGAATTGTGCCCCCCAAAAAGATATGTTGACATCCTAACTCCCAATACCTCAGGATGTGACCTTATTTGGAAACAAGGTCGTTGCAGATATAATTAAGATGAGATTGCACTGGAGTAGGCTGGGCCCCTAATCCACCGTGACTGGTGCCCTTATAAGAAGAAAGAAGACACAGACACACACAGAGAGAAGGCTGTGTGATGACAGAGGCAGAGATCGGAGCAAGGCAGCTACGAGCCAAGGAGCACCAAGGACTGCCAGCTGCCACCAGAAGCCAGAGAGGCCAGGGAGGATCCCCTAACGGCCCTGCCGGCACCTCGATCTCTGACTTCTAACCTCCAGACTGTGAGACAATAAATTTCGGAAGTTTTAAGCCACCTAACTTGTGGGGCTCTGTCACAGCAGCCTTAGGAAACTAATCCCCCCCAAATCCCTATCTCAGGCTCTGCTTCAAGGGAGCCCAACCTCGGACAACTGGCCTTTCCAGTCACAGGGCATAAACTCCAGGGCAAGCTTGAGATGGGAGCTGGAGTCCACTCTTCCCTTAGGCAGTTTCCACAAGCCTTTCTTTGTGTGAGAAGGAAGGTAGGAAAGGAAGAAGGAAAGGAGAAAGGAAGGAAGGAGGGAGAGAGAAAGGAAGAAGGAAATTCACTTTGGAGAACCCCTCCTTCCATCATTCATTCATTCAACAAACAGTATTGAGCACGACCACATGCCAGGCACTGTTCTAGGTGCTGGGAATACAGAAGTAAACAAAATAGACAGAAACCTCTGCCATCATGGGGTTTACGGACCAGCAGGGGAGACAGACCATCAAATATGTGGTCTACGGGATGATGGAAGTCCCGTGGAGAGAACAGAAGCAGGAAGGGCGGGCCCGGTGGCTCAGTGGTTAAGCGCGTGCTCCGCTGCGGCGGCCCAAGGGTCACAGGTTCGGATCCCGGGCGCGCACCGATACACCGCTTGTCAAGCCATGCTGTGGCAGCGTTCCATATAAAGTGGAGGGAGATGGGCACGGATGTTAGCCCAGGGCCAGTCCTCCTCAGCAAAAAAAAAGAGGAGGATTGGCAGATGTTAGCACAGGGCCGATCTTCCTCACAAAAAAAAAAAAAAAGAAAAAAGAAGGAGGAGAAGGGGTTCCGGATGGCCCAGGGTGGGGGCTGCCATGTAAACAGTGACGCTGCAGATGCTCCACAGCTCCGCCCGGGCGTGGTCTCGGCTCAGGCACACCCGGCCTCTTGCTCTTTTCCGCCCCAGCCCTCCTGTGAGGCGGTGGAGCCCACCTGGCCAGCACGCAAGGGCGGAGTCCACGCTCCAGCAGAATGGAAGGCCGCCCCCTCCTGCTGCCAGAACAGCGACCTGAAGGACCACCACTGACCACTGACCTTCCCTGCCTCCTCTCCTCACCCCTCACTCCTGCTTCCGGGATCACCTCCTAAATCAACTACCCGCTCCCAGGTGCCTCGGCCTCGGATTTCAGGACAGCCAAACTAGGGTGGACGTGCCAGGAAGGCTTTGCCGAAAAGGTGACATTTCAGCCAAGACCTAAAGGAGGCCAGGTATGGGGATGTCCAGATTCTCTGTCTGTCCAGGGCCTGCCACTGATGTCAAGAACAGAGCTTGGCCATATAGAATTTATTTTGTCGAGTGGGTCTCCCTCTTGTGATTGTAAGTTTCTTGACCGTTGAGAACCCGGTGATATCAAATATCCAGGAGGATACACGGAAACCACCCAACACATCCAGATCATGTGATGGGAAGCAGGATTGGGGACTCGGGCGGACGCTGCCAACACCATGCCCACTGTCTCCAGGCCCTGACCACTTCAGCACACACAGGCCTACAGCCAGCTGCCAGCAAACGCACGTTTTGCATCTGTGGATGTCAAAGGTCTCTTTATCTGCCAGTGTAACAGGCCAAAAACGCCAGGGAATGAACCTCCCTGTCCCCCAACCACCCTCTTTCACTGGCTGACAGGAGTTGGTGTATAAATACCCCAGCTCCCTCGCTCCCCAGGTGAAAAGACTCAGGCATGTGTCTGATGCTGGCTCCCCGTTTCCCCAGCAGGTTTCAGCTCCAATCACCCACAGAGGTAGCCGGCCCGATAATGCATCCTCTACGGGACTTTCCCATTCCCTCTGGGGGTGTCCTCTGCTGTCACCCCTGAGAAATGACCTCCCTTGCCTCGGGGTCTTCTTCTTCTTGGGGAATTCAAACTAAGAGAGGGATAAATCTCCTATCTTTGATGGTGTGTACAGACACACACACACACACGCACACCCCGACAGTGGAACAGCCCCTCCAGTCCTCGTGTTAAAAACCTGCGTTCTGAATGTGATGCTGGCCGGGAGAGCTCAGCTTTGAGAAGCGCCTCAGTGTGTTTGATGCAAGACAATCCCGCCCACATTTCCCAGGACTGCTGGCCCCAGCGTGGATGGGCCAGACCAGCCTCCAGATGGTTGGAGGCTGGCTGGGTCTTTCCCTCCCCTGGCCGCCACCACATCCTCGCACCCGCAGGGGCTGCACTGTCATCCTCCAGCCCACGGATGCCCAACGGAGGGACAGCCCACCAGAGACAGCCTGGTCCGTGGGTGGCTTCCCAAGCGGCCAATCGCACGGCCCCAGGCTGGAAGGGGGAGGGAAGCCAATCGCACAATTTGCCTGGAAAACATCCATCTATCATCCTCTTCTTCAGCCCTCGTTTTATTTTCCCCAAATCAATTTCTGAAAGTCAAAATGACTGATCGCTTCAGACCCCGGACAACCATTGTCCTTATTAAATAACCCGGCATCAATGACAAAAAAGCTCCCAGGGTGGTGGGTACATGAATCTACACATGTGATAAGTTTTCATAGAACTACACACACACACACACGCGCACACGCACACAGCGGTGCACGTGAAAACTGAATAAGGCATGTAGTTGAGCTGTGAACATCTATTTCCTGATCCTGCTCACTACTCTGGTTGTGTAAGATTTACCACCCGGGTTGAGGGATGAAGAGTACACAGGAACTCGCCGTACTGTTTTCGCAACTTGTTGTGCGTCGGAAATTATTTCAAAATAACAAGTTTTAAAAATGCAAAGAAATTCATAAACATCATCATTTAAAAAAAAAAATCTTAGGGGACACCACCACCCTGCCCCCCCCTTACCTGAGAACTGGGGATCAGCGCCTTCCACCAGTGCCCGCCTTTCACCAGGTCAACCTCGCACAGAGGCACGGCCACCTTCCCAATGACGCAGTGGCGCGAGAACTTATCAAAATCCACCACGGTCAGGAGCAGGGTTCTCCTCTGCGCTTCCAGGAAGGGGATCTCGAAGGTGTAGCGCTCCTCGAAGACGGGCTTCTGGGTCTTGCGTTTGACCCCCGTCTGCTTGGAGTTCTTCTGGTCCGGCAGGAGGCAGATCTTGACGTAGGGGTTGGAGTGCGCCATGTCCTGGCGCGCGCCGTCGTGGGAGAGGGGGGGCGGCAGGTCCCGGGCCTCGATGACCCTCACGGTCAGGTGGTTGTGCAGCAGGTCGTACTGGGTGCTGAAGTGCAGCATGCCCAGCTGGTACTTGGACAGGATCTCCTCGTCCGTCAGAAAGTCCACGTCGTCGCTGTTGGAGTCCAGGGAGTAGAGCCGGGGCTCGAACTTGCTGAAATAATCGTCCGGGGCGTAGGTCCGTCGGAGCACCGAGGGCTGGATGGGCTCCTTCTTGGCGCTGAGAACGCCAAACTCGATGGGTTTGATATCAATGAGCGGGGAGCTGGGTCGTCTGGACTCAAGACCTAAACGGCCGCCAGAAATAAGAATTAACACCGCCACGTAGGGGACCGGACCTGGGCCACCGCGTGAGGTCGGCCACGTTTCCCGGATTCTCACATTGTTCACTGCTTCATCATGCTCTTCGCCCTCTGCTCTCCACAGCCTGAAATCCTCTCATTTATTCTATGAGAGGCGTCTGGGCGCCAGGCACCGTTCTAAATGCACTGCATGTATCAAGTCAGCTAATCTTCACCAGGTATTAGCCAGTGACTGTTATCCCCATTTTACAGATGAGGAAACAGATACTTCAAGTCAAATGTCACATAACTAGTAAGAGGAGGAGCCAGGGGTCACGCCCAGCCCGTCTGGCCCCAGAGCCTGGCTCTAACCCTTACCCTACACTGCCTCCACTTTCAGAGAATGGACTCCGGGGCCAGGTGCCTGCGTCAAATTCCAGCTCCGCTCCTTATGAACGAGCCCTGTGACTCTGGGCACAGTCTTTAGAATCTGGGACTTGGTTTCCCCATCTGTAAAATGGAGTCCATCAGAGCACCTACCTCAAAGACGGCGGTCAAGACTCACCGAGCAAATGCGTGGAGAGGGCTCGGCTCAGAACGCGCGCGCGGTGAGAACATGGTAAATGGTACTTCTTCAAGAAGCATCTTCAGACCTCATCACTTACGGGGTGCCTCTCCCTTCCCTCAACCAGCAGAGCTCACTGCTCTCCAGGCCACCATTCTAATCTACGCTCATCCCTCTATTCTAGCAACGAGCTCATGGTGTTCTTTTTTTAAAACCATTTAATTGAGGCATAATTGATATACAGAAAGCTGTACATATTTAATACATACAACTCGATGAGTTTGGAGATAAGTATGCACTTGGGAAACCACCAGCACAGTCTATGCCGTAAACACATCCATCCCCTTCAAAAGCTTCCTCCCGCCTTTTTTATTTATTTAATTTTTCGTGTGTGATAAGAACATCACATAAGATCTACTGTCTTAGCAAATTTTTAAGTATATAATACAGAATTGTTACTTTGATGCACTATGCCGTACAGCAGATCTCTAGAACTTACTCATCTTACATAACTAAAACCGACACCGCCCGGTTCCTGCTCCCCCCGGTAACCACATTCTACTCTCTGCTCCAGTGAGTCTGACTATTAGATCCCTCCTATTAGTGGAATCACATCGTATTAGTTCCTGCACGGTATTCTCGTTAATTGCCCAAATACCTGTCGTGTCGGCTAAAATCAGGAGACTTTCGCCTGGTGCATGGTCGGGACTCTGATAACTGTGCTAAATGGAAATCGGCTGTGTACAGTGCTGGGCACGAGACTCAGGAATCATCTAGACCAGTGCTATCCAGGAGAAATATAATGCGAGCCAGAAATACAGCCACATAAGTAACTTAAAATCTTCTAGTAGCAACAATTTTTTAAACGTGCAAACAGGTGAAATTAATTTTAATACTTTATTTAACCCAATAGATCCAAAATATTATCATTCCAACGTGTAATCCATATAAAAACATTCCAGCGAGACACTTGAAATTCTCTTTTTTCCATACTGGCTTCAAAATCCAATGTGTATGTTACACGTACAGTGCATCTCCGTTCGGCCTAACCCCATTTAAACGCTCAACAGCCACGTGTGGCTGGCGGCCCCTGTACTGGGTGGATAGCGCAGGTTGAGGCCAGCCCTCTCATTTTACAGATGGAAAGACTGAGGCCTGGAGAAGTCTGACATCCCCTCTGGCTCACTATCTCAAGTCCTTGAACTTGTTTCTACTTCCTTTTTCTTCCCCATCTCCTCCCAGGAAAGATCAGACGCCAATCATTTCCACCCAAGTGGATCTGTTTCATGAATGTTAAGCTCTTTTCCTCTGTTAAGTGAACTTCAGCACCAGCTGAATGAGACAGCAGAGAAACTTTTGGGGAGTGAAAGAAGGCTGGGAGTCTTCAGGAGTCATCCTTTCTCCTCCCCACCAAATCATACCATTTGGTCAAACACATATGCCATACATTAGAGGGGATAAAGTGGGTGGCCTATGGGCCAAATTTGACCCCTAGATACATTCTGTTTGCATTTAAAAGTAAGGAAGTTTCATATAAAAGCCCAGATTGCCAGTTTCTCTTTAGAAAGATGAGGCAATACTGGGCCCACAATCCCACATGGTGAGAGCTAACTGGCAGCTGTCCCCTTCCAATGGGGCATTAGCTTTGCAATTGGCCACAGTCCCCACCCTGCCCTAGTAACCTCTTGAGACTGAGAACCAGCTGCCATTTATCACTGCATTAGGGCGACATTTATCTCTATCCAACTCTCTGCATTCAGTCACTGACACAATCCACCTGGCCCCTGAAGTCACTTGAATTTGCAAGCCCTGCTGTGTAACATGGTAACACTCGCCTTTTGGTGTCTGAAATGATATACGCTGACCATGTCAATCAATTGAGCCAATTCAATGAAACCTGTGACCAGTAAAAACACAAATCAATCACCATGATCACTTCTGACGGAACTCGGCGACCAGGTGCAATGCATTCCTGTCACACTGTCATTATCTCTCTGTCATCTTGCCTCCTGGACTGTCACCCCACTCGGGCTCCTCCCCAGAGACAACTCTGTCCTTCACATCTTTCCTGGGGACGCCGCTGAGGGTCTGGAAAAGCCAGCTCCCTTCCTTTGTCCTGGGAACCCGGCTAATGGGATTTTAATCCACGGACTCTGAGTGGCAGCTGAGCAGGCAGGCTTTCTCGGGCCAGGTCCCCCAAATGGGGATGGCAGAGATACTTACTTGAAATCCTCCGGGTCAGGCTGTACGTGGACTTGGATGTGTCTGAGGACGAGCATCTCCGATCTGGGGAGCTGGTCCGTGGGGTCAGCGGGACTTCGCTGGCTGTGTGGACGGAGTCCCCGTCCTTGTCACTGCTCCGGCTAGCCATCCTATAGCAGGGAAAAGTCTCAATGATTGTCAAAGAATCCCCGGGGCCTGGCATCTCTGTCCTTTGGGGGACAGACCCATGACAAAACAGCTCTCAGACCCCGTTTACGCACCTTGGATTTGAATAGTGCAAATGTGAAAGTGTGGTAGCCCTAAATTCTCAATAATGGCTTACATTTTGCACAAAATGTGAAATATGAATGGATATGAATGAATATTCCCAAATTTAAAACAATCCATCAAGAAATTGCATAATTGCAAAGCTGTGGCTGAGGAGAGGGCTATGTAACCTATTCGGGATATTGTCACACGGGGGCGCCACTGTGGCAAAGTCAAGAAGAGACCCGTCAATCAGTCTGGAAGGAACCATGCGGTTGTTTATATGCATCCCAACTTCTGCAAGTGGCTTTTGGTGTGAACTGTCCTGCTATTTCAACAGCCACTGTGTCTACAATTTAACATCTTTTAAAAATATCCTATAGCAGCGTCATTCAAGGGTTCTGTAAGTGGCAGGGCTACGGCTACAAAATGGCCCTGAGAATCAATGATTTGAGAACAATAGTTTGATGTGAAGACACAGCTATGAACTAGCAGCAGCCATGATTCAAGGTGCTCCCAATGAGGATGCGAAATGCCAAAAACATGGACAGCACTGCGGGGTGGGGGACGACACAGGGTAGTAATTAAGAGCACAATGTCTGGGTTTGAACCCTGGTTGTGTGATCTTGGGCAAGTCCCTTCCTCTCTCTGTGCATCTGTCTCCCCATCTGTAAAATGGGCATAATAACAGTACCTATCTTATATGGCTGCTGTGAACACTGAATGAGTTAACACATATGAGATGCTCAGAACAGTGCTTGCCATGCGGTCGGCAGGTGCTCAAGACATTTTAGCTGATATCATTACAACATGGGTGGGTTTCAGATCCCCCGATGCTCATAAAGCTAGGTAGGGATGCTGGGGCGAGGGGAGAGGACGGCGAAAGGAAGCTGGCAACGTGGCCGTGAGACGGATGCTGCTCACCACAAGCCCCCAAGCTATCACAGCTGCAGACTGATCCGTTCTGTGACTGCATCCCCCAACTTGACATTTAAGCCTGCGGGGAAACTAGTCTTGAAAAATGCTTGAAAAATGCAAGTTTCGAATTCCACGAGGTCTTCAGAGGTCTTCAGACACATCCCGTGCATGAAATGAGACGAATGTTCTTGCAAAGCGATGTCAGGGTCACAGCCAGGACAAGACCCGGCAAGTTATAAGGGGGGGATGCCCAGTCCTCTTTACCTCCTGCTGCTCTGTAAAAGGCGAACGTAGCAGATGAAATGCGGGGGGCTGGAAGGGAGCAGGGAAGGGCACAGAAACGGGGTCAGATTGTATCAACCATTCCTCTCTCTCTCTCCCTTAATAGAAGCAGCAGCATCTTCTAAGGAAGGTAGGACCAGAATGCTCTGGCCACTGGGGCACCGTGTCCACCTGCGTGTTTCCCGGCTGCCACACCTCCCTGGGGCAGCCGCCTCCACCTGGGAAGTCCCATCCAGTCTTCAAGGATCAGCTTAAACGCCACTGCCTCCCGAAGCCTTGGTTGAGTCCTCGCAGGCACAGTGCCACGCATGCCGAGCCACCCTGCCTCCTCTGCAGCCCCCACGCCTCCCCGCCCTTCCTCCGACACGCCGGGCCACACTGTTCCCTCTGAGCGGCATGCTGTTCCCGCCCCTTCACCTGTCTGCTTCCTCCTCATCATCCAGGTCTCAGCTTCAACAGCACCTCCTCCCACCCCCGCCAGCCTCATCCCTGCACCTTCTTTATTCCGTCTGCAACACTGCACACAACTCATCTGTGGCTGCGCCTTGCTCGCTTCTCTTCTGCCTCTGACACTAAGCAGGAGCTCCGCGCGGGCAGGGAGGTGTCCGTCTTATTCACCACCGCCAACCTCGCCCCAGCACAGCGACTGGCACGTTCGGGGTGTTCCACGTTTATTTTCCCAATGAATGAATGAACGAAGCCTTCTTGCAGTGCGTATCTGATTTATCTCGCGTCACAAGGATCAGAGTGCACGTCTTGTCAGCCCTCCCACAGCAGGGGACACTCCTTAACAGCGGGATCTGTACTTATCACGATCAAAGGTACCAGATGCTGAGCAGCTATCACGTGCCGGGCACTGGGCTAAATGCTCTGTAGGAACCATCTCATTTCATCCTGAAAACAATCCAGGAAGTACTTGTTATTAACCACCCCCGTCCCCTTTACAGATGGGGAAATGGGAGCTCCAGTGTAGGGTGAGGGGAAGATGGGTAATTAATCCGCAGCACTGTTAAACAGGAGAACCCCAAAGGAGTCCAGCAATACCAGACTCCAGCTCTCACGCTCTGCACTACTGAGCTGGGCATCCCCTGTGAGGCCAGGGAGAGCTTTGCACACAGTAGGTCCTCAACACATGCTTATTGAACAAACAAATAATCTGACTTTAACTCCCTCTTCAATGAGGGTCTTTCTGGCATTGCCCCAAAAGGAGCCAGGCGGATTGCACAGTTTTCCTGACCCTCAGCAGCCCAGCTCAGCCAGGGAAAGCTGGGGGACCCACATGAAGGAAGCATACTTGACAATTAATGGTGTATCCCCCCAAATCACACACACAAAGGGCCAGCTCATCTGCCACATGCCACCCTACGGAAAGGCATGTCCTGTGGTTCAATGTCATGGTAGGAATAGCACTGCAAAGCCCGTACACTTGACATTTCTACTCCCTGCCTGTTTGATAACATGCAACTGCCCACTTGGTAAATAAATCTGGGGAAAGCACAAGCTGTAAATTGGCTGTTTGAATGATTTAAATCTGCCACCCCTTTATAGACGTCTCGTAACATTTTGCATTATGTTGAGTGCTACATATGTGCTAAGTACCGCCCAGGATTTAAGGGAGATCTGGTTCATCTTGGGAAGCACAAAGGTCATGTACAGCTGTTCAGGCCGTAGACTGCACAACTCTAGGGGATGCTATTCACAGGGACCACCACGTGAATGGCACCTCCATGAGTTGCACAGTGTGTTGGCCCTGCTGGGAAAGTTCCAGCCCACTTCTCTGCTTGTGACAAAACCAAAAGAAGTGTCTTCCCATTGGGTCCCAAGCCCTCATGCCCAGAAAGAGCGCCCTGCTTGCACAAAGGGTCAACAGCCTGGGCAAAGTGCAATGTTCTCCAGTCCAGTGTTAGGACCTAGGCCCTGCATCTGAAACACTCAACATCGAGGTATGTGGGGGCAAATGTGTACCCAACTGATTTTCAGTGTCCATCAGGGGGTGTCCACTGGTTCAGAAAAAATCCACACTCCTTAATCTGGCATTGAAGACCCCACACGACCTAAGCTTGCAGGCTCATTTTCTATTACTCCCCCAACTCTTCCTAGATGTAGTGTCCACTTGCAGTGTTTGCCCGCTCTGGGTCCATCCCCTCCTCTCTGGTCAGAGAACTCAAACTGTCTGTTCCGAAGGTCAGCGATCTCTGGGGCTGAGTCCATTGCCTGTTCTGTAACTGAAGTGTCATTGGAACACAGCCACCCCCATTCATTACGTCTTGTATACGGCTGCTTTCTCACAATGACAGGAGTGAGTACTTGCAACAGAGACTAAGCCCATGAGGCTAAAATATTCACTATCCGGCCATTTACAGAGCAAGTTTGCCAACGCCTGGTCTCCTAGCTTAGTTTATGTGTTTCAGGTGGGAATGACCCTTCCCCTGGTTCCAGAGCAGTCAGGCAACACAGGCGTGATTTGAGCATCATTCCCTCCAAGCGAAAGTGATTGGCTCACGTGACCGACACATGACCCCAGCCAGGGCAATGAGAGCCTTTCCTGGTGCTTTTGCTGCTGTTAAGAATGAGGCAAAGAAGAAAGTAAGCCTAAGAATGAGGCCAATACAGAAGAAACAGAAAGAGAGAGAGAGAGAGAGAGCACATGCCCATGACATCACTTGGGCCCCTGGATCCAGCTATGCCTGAAGCCATTCTCCCTGGATTTTTCTATAACAAGACTATGCAGGACTGTCATATGAGTGTGCACAACTCCAGGGGGCACCTGGACCTATGTACCTACCTTCTCTAGTAGATTTAAAACCCTAGAGCATAGCAATGGGACTCTAGCCTTGTGCATCTGGCACACAGAGGGCACTAGAGACTTAACTACCAAAGAAACTGAGATCAACTTTCAACCAGACGACTGGCACTTTCAGGATTCAATTCCTGCCTGTAGGTCAGTCAGCTGGTCAACTATTTTTCTGAGTGAACAAGACAGATAGAAACCTTTCCCTCACACAGCTGGCATTCTTCTCAGCGTGGCTGTAAAGACACCAGAAGGGCTGAGCCAACCTCCGCCAAGTAGGGCTCCAGAAAATAGGAATGACCTCAGATGAATGAGTTGGCTTCACCAAACATCTCAACTCTACACACACCTGCAGGATTGAGGCCACAACCTCTGAACAATGGAAGAGTTCCTTAATAGTGCCTTCACATCAGTTGAATGAATCTCAATCAATACCTGATATTGATAAAAAGGGATATTTACTACCGCGCTAAGCATGTTATATGCGTATCCCATTATTCTTAATAACAACCCTATAAAATAAGTTCTATTACTGTTTCCACTTTACGGATGAGGAAACCGAGACCAAAACAGGGTAAGAAGAACATTTACATTTATGATTGCCAACAAGGTGTCAAGCATTCCTAAGTCCTTTTCCGTATATTAATTCCTGCAATCACTACAACAACCCTAGGATAAATACTATTCTTTTTATCGTCCCCATTTTACAGATGGGAAATTAAGGCACAGAGAGATCAAGCAACTTGCCCAAGGTCACAGAACTAGAAAAAAGTAGGAGAAATAATATTTGAGCTCACATAGCCTGACCTGGAGCCATTTTGCTATGGAAATATTTTGATATTTGCTTCTAAGAAGAGACAATGAGAAGACTGGGACATGACCCCCAACTGGAAGGGAAAGATGGGGCACCAGAGGCTTCTGGAATCTCAGCCCAAGGACATAGCTGAGACAGTGCTGCGTCCCTGCCGAGGCTCCAGCTGTGGGCCCTCGCACTGTCCTTCCCCCTCTCTGGGCCTCCCCCTCCGTATCATGAGAAGCTGCACTCGATAATTCCCAGGCTCTGGCCTCTAGACTCAACTCAGACACTCAGGCCACGCTCCTCTCCCAGCCACAGAGAGGTGGACCAGACACGTGGCTGAGAAGCTTCAAAACTGCATTCCCAAAATATCTGAGCGACTGGCAGATGGAGATGTTGTATGCAGGCGAGGGAGGAGAAAGAATTGGAAATAAAATGAAAGATGCCAGAGAGAACATAAACAGCGTTGGAGGACAGAATGGAGCCCGGAGGTGCTTTTCTGCTTCCCTGTTTCTGAAGTTCTTGCTCAGACCAGCAAAGAGGCTCTTGTTTGTTCTTTCCATCCACCCATCCATGCAACAAATATTTTTCGAGCATCTACTATGGGCCAGGTGCTAGGACAATCCGTCATACTGACTTGGTGGACACCTTTAGAATCTGGACATCCCTTGAAGAATACAGATGCTCACAGATCTCTCTTTCTGCTTGGAAAGACACCCAGTGTGATGAACAGTGCCCACACGCTCAGCATTACACAGTTCACATCTCAGAAGGCCCGACGTGAAATGAGCTGAACCACAGCCCCACCACCAGCTGGTCTCCCCAGCCTGCCCAACAAAATGAGAGGCGCAGGGTATGTCCCCACCCGCAGCAAAGAGGTCAATGGAACTCAGCCTTTCCCTATTTCTTACCCCAAATCCTCCCTCCCGGGGAACGGACCCCCCTCTCAGCAACCGAGAAAAGAAAGGTCTTGAGCGTGCCTCCAAGGAAGTTCAGAGCAGTCTTACTTACAGCCAGGGAGGGGTCTGGGCAGGGAAAGGTCCCAGAATTTCAACTTCATCCTCGCTCGACTGGCAGCAGCTGGACGCACAGCATTTCTCACAGCAGTGCCGGCAAGTGCACCTGCACAGCAGCAGATCGGAGATTCTAGAAAGAAAACCCTGAGGCCAAGGGGGGAGTGGGCCGTGGAGAGGGGGAGAGGGGAGGTGGATGAAGGCGGGGAGGAGGAAGAGGAAAAAACACCCGAAATTACAAGCAGCCGATCCCTGAGGAGAAATAATGACATTCAGGAGGTCTGTCTCCACGGCCGAACACTTAGAACAAAATGTTTTCCGTTTCTATTTACCAACTGCAGGCACAAAGATGGCAAACACCAACTCACTGAAGCCATTAATAGCGAGCAAAACATTTACAGGTATTTTCTTTTGGAGTTTCTGGGAACATCTTTCTTGACATGTGGGTGGGGTGTCTACAGCACCGTAAGGGCCAGACAATATGTTCTCGAAACACAATGAATATTACTCTGTCTTCTTGAAAGCGAAAGAAAAATATTTAAAACAATCATCTCTGTGACATGAAAGAAAACAGAGATAATCCAACAGATGGGGTGCAGAGGGAAACCCATCTCGTCCACTCGTGTCTCCCTTCCACAGAAAGACATCGAAATTGTGCCGTTATCAACATCCAGTTATTGTTTAAAATTCAATATCCTCACAGCCCCACAGAAGACTCCAAAATCAAAGGCAAGCATTTCTCGATTAGAAAGCAGACCAAATGAATCATCGAATTCACCCACCTCATTTAAAGGTTCCAACTGTCCTTTTAGAGATCCACGATGAAGCCAAGGGGCGAGGGGGTGGGGGTTACAAAAAGAGAGAGACCAGACCAGTTTAGCAATATTCCAGCAACTCAAAAAACGAAAAGAAAAGAAAAGAAAAGAAAAAAGCCCTCCTCTTTCCACTTACCATCCTGGGAAGGGAGATGACTTCCCAGCAAGGTGTTGCTATTTCCAGGGCTGCTGGTAGCCTCCTGGCTAACCAACACCGAATAAATGGGAAACTTTAGCATTTCGATTTGATTTGCACCGTATGCTGTTATGAATCAGAGCGGCTGGATAGATAGTCATGCTATCCAACACAGCCACACTTCAGGAGAAGAGCAAACCTTCCTCTACAGAAATAGCCATGAAGCCCACCTAAACAGACATGATTAGCTGACACGCAGGCAGGCACAGAGGGGATGCGACTTGGCGCCCCCACCCTCTCGGAGGCCCTACCTTCCAGTTCTGCTCCAATGGTGATGGTAGGGAGCTTCATATGATCACCCACAAATAGAGGGAGCTGAAAAGGAAGCCATATCTGGTCCTCAGGAGGAGGGAGGGGCTGCCTTCTTTGGCCCCACCCCCCACCCCATCTTCTTCTCACAGGTTCCCAAGGCACAGGCTCCCTTCCCCTCTTCCAGGGAAGAGTCCTGATGGCTTTCCAAATGGGCCAAGCAGACCAGGTAGGTTAGGAGGGGTCCTGCATCCCAGCCTGGGACATGTCCCAGAGATGAACTGAGGTGGGACTCGAACTCAGAACTTTGAATCAAGAAGAAAGTTATTGTTTTTCAATTCTCTCGCAAGGAGGAGAAAGTCTTAATTTGGTACCGTTGCATGTTAATATCTTTCTAACACTTGCAAATCACACCCCCCCCCTTCCTTTTTAAACCAGCTCAGAGCCTTGGAGATAGTTCTATCCAGCTAGAATCTAAAGATGTGGCATTTATTCTCATCGTGTTTATTTTTCCAATTGCTTTCTGTTTCTATCAAGTGATCCTGGTTTTCTACTATGGTAGTGACATAAAATTTTCCTTTTCATATGATTTTCGAAGTAAAAAAAAAAAAGTGAATCCATTTATAGAAAAAAATATTAAGTAAATAACAGTACAGGTGGTACACAGCTTGTGAAAACTCCAAAATCCTTGAGGTAGTAAGGGAGTGACTGTAGCTTGGGAAGCAAATTCTCAGGGAATAATCACAAACTCTTCCAAAACAGAAACTCAAACCACACACAGAGCAAGACCTGAAAGTGCTAGGGGCGCCACGCACAGAGCTGAGTGGAGAAGCGCTAGTCCCGGCCTCGCCACCAGCTAATCATGTGACTTGGGCAAGTCAGGGGGCCACTCTGAGCCTCGGTTACCTCTTTTTGTAGTGGAAGGGCTAAGCTAGGACACTGACTATGAAAATGCTTGTGTGCTGCCCAGCTGCAAAATAGCTGCACCCTTTCTGCGGCTTATGAGAACGAGGAGGTTTGTCAAGTCCAGTTGGAACCTACTAGGCACTGGGGACTGTCCTGGCTGATACAGCAGTGAACGGAGCAGCAAAAACCTATGCCCTCATGGGGCGTACATGAGCAAGTGCTTTAAAATGCTTAAGATAAAGTACAAGGATAAAGTGATGCTTTTTCACAATCCATGGCCATTCTTTTCATTTAGGGAAGCATTTCCCTGGTATTTAGTGATCAAAAGAGAACCATTTATAAGAGCATGATGAGCAGAGACAAGGCCACCTCAAGATCCCCACTGAGGACCAACCACCCAGCTTTCTCAAGGCCAGGCACAAGATGAGTGTCAGGAAGCAAAGAGACACCAAGGAAGATGAAGAGGAAAGGGAAGATGCTCTGATGCTTCCAAGCATCTTGAGGTCCACTGGGTTCACGTGTTTGAACCAATGGAGGAGAACTGAATCAAGCCAGAAAGAAACAGGAAGAAAGAGAACCCAGACATTCTAGCACTGGGGCTGGCATACTCTGACTCGCAGGCCAAATCCAGCTGGCAGCCTGTTTTTGCACAGCCCTCCAGCTAAGAATGGTTAGCGCGTTTTTAAATGGTTGAAAGAAAAATCAAAAGATTAATACTTCTTGACTCCTACCAAATATATGAAATTCAAATGTCAGTGTCCACAAATAAAGTTTTATTGGAACACGGCCACACCCATCCATTGACTATTGTCTACGGCTGTTCAGAGCCATAGTCAGAGTTGACACAGACGATGCAGCCCTCGAAGAAGAAAATATTTACTATCTGGCCCTTTACAGAAAGTTTAACACCTTGTTCTAGAAGGAAAGGCAACATCACCGGGCCATCCTCATACTAGATGCTTAAGAAATTCCCCACCATCCTCCCTTTTAGATCCCACCATGGCCCCTAAGCAACTGTGTGACCTTGGGCAAGTTAATTTCTCTGTGCTGAAGGTGGGTCATTCAGAACCACAGAAGCCTGCTCTAACGTTGTTCATTTCTCACTAGATTGTGTCTTCCGAGGGGCAGGAACCATGCTGTTTTCATGGCTGTGTTCCTAGTGCCCACACATAGTAGGTGGTCACCCAAGTGTCTGCTGAGTGACTACGGAATAGTCCCCCCAACAACATCCAGCACACAGTAGGTGTGCAGTAAACATGACCTTCATTGAATTTGAAAAGAGGACCTAGGGATTCCAGGAAGGGAAGCCAATGGAGCCATCTACACCAGGCGACAGGGCACAGAGTTCCTGGCAAGCTGAAAAGTCTGAGGGCAAGATGAGGGATGTGTGAGCCAGAGGGGAACTAGGGGACCAGCAGCCCCCCAGCTACAGCCAAGGGGAGAAGTGAGCCCACCGGCGCCCTGAATGTAGGAGCCTGCAGGCTTCTGGGCCGGGCTCAGAGCAGCCAGCCCCACAAGCAAGCCGCTCAACGGGTCTGACTGCGTGACCTTGACGCTGACGCGCAGCCACTTCCCCCCTCGTACTGTGGGGAAAGGTCTCTTAGTCAAGCAGCCCCCACCGCCCAAAAAAGATGCTTGTTAATAATGTCAGCCCAAGGATTCTTGGGGGAGTTTCCCCAAGGTGATGGGGGTCCCCAACTCCAGACCCCAATCCAGTGGCCTAAAGTAATCGGCTGCCACCCCCACCAGCACGCCTCTGGTGTGTCCCCCACCCCTCAGCACCCAGTGCCCGGCCGAGACGATGTCCTTGTCCCTCCTGCCCGGAACAGCTGCCTCAGGCTCGCTCCGCCGGCCAATTAGCCGGAGCCGTCACCACGGCAACGGCCGCTGGCGGGCCGGGCGGCTGGTGCGCCCCGGGCCGCCCTCCCGCGGCCCCTCCCCTGGGGTGGGGTGCAAGATGGAGAGGGAGGGGTGGTGGGGAGAAAAGTCCGCCCCACCCCCCGTTCCCTCCCCAGGAGCCGAGGGCGCGCGGGCAGACTCCACACGGGGTCCTTCAATCCGGGGTGTGGGGTCCCCAGCCTCTTCTGGGGCGCACCCTCGCCGCTGCACAGGTTGCCTGCGCTCGGGCACCCTTTTTCTCGAGGCAAGTTTGTGGGAGCCTAGCCGTGTGCCCTCCCGCGCGCTCCCAGTCGGAGGGGGCGCGGCACCCTCCCCCCCCCCCCCCCCTCCCCCCCGCCCCCCCGGGGGGGCCCCCCCCCCAGCCCGCGGACCGTGCCCCCCAGCCTCAGCCCTACCTGGATGTACGCCATTTTCGCCCGCGCGCACTCACTCCGGCCCGGGCATGGCGCCGCCACGGCCACTTTGCCCTCGCCAACAGGGGAGGGGGGAGACAGCAAAGGGGGAAAGGAAGAAGAAGGCAGCCGGGTGGCCCCAGACGTGACTGGCGTGGCTGATGAGCGGCGCCCGCCCCTCCGCCGGCCGCCCCGTCCTTGCCTTTCCCTGCGTTCCGGCTCCCGGTGTCGGGGCCGCCTCCCAGGTTGGAGAGCTGGGGCACCCAGGGCCCCCGCCTCGGCCTCCCTCGCTGTCCCGCGCTCCCCCCGAGGCGCTCCCCCGGCTGCAATCAAGCCGGGGCGCCTGGGGAGAGAGCCCGGGGCAGCCGCGGGGACTGCAGCGACCCCGGCGCAGGCGGGGCCGGAGACGCTGGGGCCCGTGCGCGCCAGAGGCGGGGGAGGGGATGGGGAAGCGGGTGGGAGGGGGCGGTGCACGGGTCAGCCCATCCGGTCGGCGCCGGGGCTGGCACCTACCGAGAGCAGAGCCCCCTGGGCAGCCGTGAAGCCGAGGGGGCACAGTCCAGCCCGCCATGGAGTCGAGCTGGGAGGGTCCTCCCCATCCAGCCCTCTCCCAGACCAGGTTGGAAAAACTTTATTCCCGCCCCGCCCGACGCGCCTAGAACTGTTGCGGTGAGGAACGCAGAGGCCGAATGAATGGGAGCATCAGGTTAAGGTGAGGCGTGGGGCGCCTCGAGGGAGAGGCTGAGGCCTGGGATGCAGGGGCGCGCGCAGAGAGCGGAGCGCCCCGTTACCCTAAACCTGCCCGAGTTGCGCCCTGGGCTCAACAGGTCTGGTGTGGGGCGGCCCCGCAGCGCCACCCAGCGTCGCGCCAGCGCCGTGCGCGCCTCTGCCCGCTCGAAGCTCCGCGCCAGCGAGCGTGCGCCCCCGGGCGTGTCCGCCCGCCAGCCCGCCAGCCCGCCTGCTTGCGTGGCTGGGGCGCCCTGGGCCTGGAAAGCTCCTCAAACCGGTTCGCCCCCACCAAGGCCGCAGAGCTGGGGCTGGCTCTCCAGTGAGGGATTTGAGGTGGAACATTGCCCTCCGCTGGTTCTCTTTTTAAAATTCTCAGCCGTGTCCTGTTGCCAGACTCCAGTTTATCAACCTTTGAACCTCCCAGCGCCTCTGTCTTTTCTTCAGTAAAACTGGCATAAAATCTCTGCCCTACCTATCCTCCAGGGCTGTTTTGGGAGAATAAATGAGGAAATGAATGTGGAAGTAATTAACAAAAGATGTAATATACATATGTGGATATCTTTTGTGTACAAATCTAGCATAGGTAGACATTTTTGAGTATGATATACTATTTCATCGGTAGTACATGGCATGTAGCCCACGTTGAGCACTTATAATTCTGCAGGCGTTGTGCTCGGCCCTTCACAAGCGTTATTTCCTCTCATCCTCTTATGCCTTGCTCACTCCTTTGCATCTAGCATAGAGCCTGACCGGAGTAGGCACTCAATAAATGTTTATGTTGTTGCTGTTGACTCCTCTTCATTTCATGAGGGAGGTGATGCAATTAGCCCCAACTTACAGATGAGGAAACTGAGGTGCAGAGAGATAAAGCCACTCTCCCGAGGCATGACAGCTGGCAGCTGGTGGTTCTTACATTTGAACCCACACGGTCTGCCCTCCTAACCACCTCATGGTATTTATCCACAATGTTTCTTCAGCACTGATGGGAAGGGGTGCTTGGTGGGAAGGGGGTTTCACAGAGGCACCCATGCCTACTGGGATGGGTGCTCCTTGGGGGGACTTGAGAGAGGAAGAGGGGTTTGCCAGGTGTTCCCGTGAAGAATAGCTAGCCTTTTTGAAACTGTGTGCCAGGCTCTGTTTTCAATCTTTTACACAAATTCTTTTAATTCTCTGATAACCGTGAGGTGAGCACTGTTACTCTCTCACTCTTTAGATGAGAAAAAAGGAAGCCTAAAGAGGTGGGGTAACTTGCCTGGGGGTATACGGCTCTGGGATTCAAAGACGGCATGAGCCGGAATCCTTCCTCTAGCCATGGCACCTCGCTGCCTCACAATGCTGGATCTTGGGGGAAGGGGGATGAAATCCTTAGGGTTAGTGTGGTACCTTAATCCCTAAAGACTTAAAACTATCTGGGAATACCAAGCACCCCTCCTCCAGTGAAAGAAGTTATTTAAAGTGGGGATAATAGAACCTACCTCTGGGGTTATCAAATACTTTCATGTATGTCAAGCACCTGGCATACAACAGGTGCTTAATAAATGCTCGTTGAATGAGTTACATGGATGGTACTAATAGCTAATATGGATGCTTCCGACTCTTCGTCGTTATTATGATCAAAGGCTGAGCGCTTCACGTGCATGCTTGTTTATTGCTCCCCAGAGCCTTCCAAGTGAGTACCATCGTCACCCCATTTCACAGGAGAGGAGGCTGAAGCTCTGAGAGGAGGGGCGAGTCGCCCAAGGTAAACAGATGAGAAGTGATGGGGACAGGATAAAGTGCAGGTCTCTTCAGCTCTCAAGGCCCTGCTGTTTGCGGCTGTGCCATCCTGCCCCCAATGAGAGAATGAACGAGAAGTCAGTCCTCAGTTACTTATCATGGGAGTGTCAGATGTCACTCCAAGACTGGATGTCAGGGTCCCCAGCTCTGCAAGCCTCTCCTTGCCCTCCACAGGGACCTGCAGTCCAGCTACGAGGGCTAACCTGGACTCAGACCAAGGCTGTGTCTGTCTGGACGAGGCAGCTGGCACCTTCACAGCTCTGGGTGGAGAAGCCCCCGGTCCAGGGGACTGACGAATGCATGAAATTGCGTGTGACCTGTGCTGTGATAAAGCGAGGCCTAGGGGGCTGTGGGGGTTACAGAGGATGGGCCCCAACATAGTGTGGTGAGGGTCAGAGACGGCTTCCTGGAGGGGGTGACATTAAGCTGACTCCCAAAGAACCAAAGGTGGGGAGAAGATTATTCTAGAGCCCAGCGGTGCTTAATTCGGGGTGGGGGGAGTCCGTAGATAGAATTCTGGGGGGTCCATGAACTTAGAAAGGAAAAAATTTACATCTCCACTAACCTCTACTTGAAATTCAGTATCTCCTTTCATTATGAATGCAGGCAACAAGCCTCAACAATATTTGCACTTACCTGGGTCTTTGTCACCAATGGAAATCATGTATGTTCCTATCACATTACAGCTGTTGCAAATAACTTGAAATTTTATTTACACTCTTTACTGCTTGAAAATTGCAACAGTTACTAGGCCCACCACTAGATCTTTCTATTTAATGCATTAATGAGTAAACACATACATTACCACATTTAAATTAGTTTTAATATTTTGATAAGTGTATATCAATATAATTATAATTTCATTATACTCCTATGTCTAGGCTTCAACATCCTGGCAGGGGGTCCATGGCACAGAAAGGATCGAGAACCCCTGAAAGAAGCGTGTGCATTAGCTTAGAGGTGAGAGTGGGAACCACCGGTAGTTCTCCGGCTGGAGCGAGGGGAGGGTGGTGCCAGGCGAGCTTCAACAGGCAGAAGAGGACAGATGTCGGGCAGCCTTATAAGTTACCCCATAGAAGAGCAGGAAGGGTGAGGCTCAGAAAGATTTTGACGGGTGTGTGTGTTTTTCTGTCGTGGGCGTGGAGTAGACAAGCCTGGAGGCGGGAGGGTGTTCCAGCAATCCAGGTAAGACGTGGTGCGAGTCTGGACTGAGGCCCCGGTAGTGAATCACTAGCCGTAACTGAATGAGCAGCGATGAGGTCGTGGAAGGCAGAGGAGGCTGGAGGAGGGCAGGTTGGCTGGGGGAGGAGTCGGGGTTTTGTGTTTGGATGTGTTGAATCTCAGATATGTGTTATCTAGGGTTCCTGAAAGAAACCTGGGTCAATCCAGCTTGAGCCAAAAAGAACTCACGGGCTCGTTAGCTGGGCAGTCCAAGGGCAGATCCTATAGCCGCGGCTGGATGTCGGGGTGCAATTGAAGTCATAGGGACTCGCTCTCTCTCTCTCCGTGTCTCACCTCTTCACAATTTCTCTCTGAATGTTGGGGTTTTTTTTCCCTGGAGTAGGTTTGCTTCACATAGCAGAAAAATGGCCACTAGTGCCTTGAGCTTATATTTTACCAGTTTATGCTCCAAAAGGAAGAAACTTTTAAGGAAATCTTAAGGAAGAACTCTAATTGGTCCTGTTCGGGTCACGTGCCTACTTCTGGACCAAGTGCTGTGCCTCCGCTTGAGTCTGCCTGGACCAGGTGACCAGAGCTGTGTGGGCATCATGAACCATGATCCCACAAGGACCACGCAGAGAGGGAGAAGAGCAAGTTCTCTGAGAAAGAGATGCTGGGAGCTGAAAACAACACGCCCACACTGATGTGGCGTGGAACATCCAGGCGAAGATGTGCAGTGGGCAGATTAGATGGTTCCTGAGTTCATCCTCTCCTAACACGAGAAGACGCTCAGAGCTGATGATCGGGAGATGAGGCTTCAGTCACCTCCCAGAGGCACTCCTGGGCTCATCCCAGCCTTTCACCTTCTCCTCTCAAAGCCCCAGCCCGGGATGGCAGATGCCGGCACATAATGGTGATTTTCCCTTCAGGATCCTTAAGAAGGTAGTTAGAGGTGGCAATGCTAATCGCAGACGACGTCAGGATACCTATTGTTATTTAAAAGCACCAAAACAGAAGCAGTCGCTGGCATCCATATGGGCACCACACATTCTGGTTCGGTGACTTACTATTTCTGCCATACACGCTGACGGTACTTGTCTCCTAAGTCAGGTTTAATTATACAGCTTCCAGAACATGCCATTCAGATCCTGTTTTAGCTGTGCCGGTAACCCTGGGCAGTGTTTCTGACTGCCAGGAAGTAAGAAGGCTCCAGGCTAATTAAATAGTTCGTCTGGAAATAGGAAGGGCGGCCACCTGTTAAGTATGATCCGTGGGGCTGACATAACGAAGTAACCCCACGTAGAAGTCAGACCCCTTTCATCTCCATCCTCGCCAGGGGGAGTGTGGTTTGATAGCCAGAGATCTGGCTTCTACTCCAGCCTCGCCTACGTAATAGCTGTGTGGCCTGTAGCTGTGTGGCCTCGGGCAGGCCGCTTAATCCCTCAGAGCCTCAGTTTTCCTCACCTGCTGAATGGGTATAATACTTCCCTCCCAGGGCTGGTGTGAGGTAAGGCAAAAGAGAAAAATGCATGTGGAACGCTAGCGCACAGTTCAAAATTAGTGGTTTCTTTCCCCCATAGCATACATTTAATCTGTGCCCACAGTGCCTCTTTCCTATTTTACAGTTGGAAGGGAAATGTGTGTCAGAGAGGAGGAAGGGATAATGTGGAGGTTAAAATCCTGGCCTCCGGGGTCAGCCAGGCCTGCGGCTAAGTCGTGCTGCCTGCCACATAGCAGC